AAATTCATTTAGAAAAAAAAAATAAAATAATTTGACTTATTTAAGACAAAAAAATTAAAAAATTAGGGTGATTTGATTATTCGGTTCTAGGTCTAGAACCAAGATTGAACCGAACCCGTCGGTTCTCGATTTAGATACCCGTTCGGATAATTAATTTAAGAAGAATCGCTCGGTTCGGTTCGGTTCGGTTCGAGAGTTTTGTCCAACCATACATTTTATGAGATCTACAATTTTTCAATAATATATTTTGTTAACTTTATTAACATTTACTAAAACTTTTATCAATATGTTCATCGAAAAAACCCATTAATCTTCGTCGAATTGTGTGTTATGAAGTGACGGTAATATTTGGCGAAAAAGGAAGACATGTGAATGCTCTACAACTCAAATTAAAAATATTTAATAGTCTGTAGGCTCAAACTCAAGCCTATTCCATGTGAGTCAATTGACACCAACCCAATCTTTAAAAAAAAAAAAAGCCAACTCTTTGTCAAGTTCTAAGAACATAGCTGGTAGTTGCCCTTCCCTTGAACACGAGCTTTAGCCGCCGGTGACATACGTACCTTCACTCGAGTCACATGTCATATTAATTGTACAAAGACTATTAACGATCGATTGTCCAATTCAATCTCAATAATATCTAATAGATAATAAAGTGGATCTTTCAATATTAATAGTTTATAAGATGGGACGATGTATCATTTTCATTCGACGTTAGACTTTGAACAACTATACATAAATATTAACTGTATATAATTAATAATAAACACACAAAAATCGTGTTTTAAATTAATTTCACCCTCTCCATTACTGTTTTTCTTCAGCTAATCAATAATCCATCAATGGCATCTTCTTGCAGCTGTCAAGGCCTTCTTCAACCCAATTTCTCCAAAGGATTTCAGCCTTTAGGCTCCCATCGATTACATTATCATCCAACAACATCAAATCTGAAAAATGGAGGCTCCTTTTTAGGCGATTCGAATTTGAAATATATTCAAACCTTACGAACGAACAAAGGATCAAAGAGGTAAGCAATAGCTTCTCAACTTTGTTATTACTTCTGTT